AAGTATTCCATCAAATGGTCCCTGAAAAAATGTATGCTAACAAAAATGCTCTGGATTTTTGCCTGATACTGCTGAACATAAAAGCCACCACTGAAAATCTGCTCTTCACACATTACGTAATCTATATTTTGCAGCTGTAATGTTGGTATGCAAAAGCTGTTTAATCATACTGATAGTAGTGACTACTCACGTGGAGACCCATGTTTTCATGACACTAATCAATCTCAAAAAATGCCCGAATGCTATCGGAAACTGGAGTGTACTTGAACGAGCAGGAGGGGAATATTCGTCCAAGGCAAGACAGAACACTTACCGTGCAACGGAACGAGAGGGTTAGCCCTCCGGAAGGGCAAGAAAAAGACAAATGATGTGCACTGAATGCCCCAGTTTAGCAAAAACAAACAGTGCAATTACCCGCATGATTTCCCATTCAAGAGACCAGAGCCGTCGAAGTGTTTGCACAAGCAAAAGGATAGCTAACGCAAGATCTATTTAGCGCCAAAACTATATAAAGCTGTCTTTTTCACAACTGAAAAATGCGATATATTATCGCGAACGGAACCCCTTGCTGGAAATTGTTATGGACTGAGAGGCGATCGAATTATTCCTCTTCGCATCCGGTCGTAACGTACCACCTACTACGCTTCCAATCTCTGTGCTCCAGGAACAACCTGGTAGCACACCTACTATGTACCTGCCTTTCAAGACAGAATATGCCTTATGCTGCTTCCCACAAGCAGTGTACATCTTTTTCTTTGCAGTGGTTTCTTTTTGCCGGTGTTTCGCGAGACTTCCGAGGAACACGTGCCGTCAAAAAAAACTCACGTTTTCTTTGGAGAAATCGATGACCGTTTGGACTGATTTCTCGAAACCTTCATAATCCATTACTTTCCGCGTATTGTAGCATTCTGGGACATACCACCAGCCAAGATAGTGAGCTGGTGCTGGATTCCCTGCTAAACACATTGTTGAGGAACGCGTGGCGATAATTCACTCAGTATCGGCTATGCATTAGAATTCTCACAAAATGACTGGTGTGCATGTCCGAAAAACTGGCTAAGATGAGCAAAATTTTCGTAGTTATTGTTGAGATCGCTAATCTGTTTGATAGCACACTGCTAATGA